AAAAAGTGGCAGATTAACCACTTCCTCTCTTCTGGTTATTTGCAGGCTTTAGAATTCAGAATTTAGAAAAACTGTCTGAAAGCTCTACAATTTGAAAAGTTAACATCAGTGCTAAAGGTGGCACGCACAGAAGCAAAGATAGTCACTTCCACTGATTAGAGGTTTGACAACTGCAACCAGCACTCCATCTGCCTTTGTACTGAGCAAAGTCTCACTATTATTTATCAACCTAAACTAAAAATTACTCATCAGTACTAGAAAAGAAGGAAATTTGGAATTCCTGAAGACCTGAAGAGTAGAACCAGAAGAAAATAATGTGTAAAATAGGGACAAAAATGCAAAATTCCTTACTTCTTAATCACAAAGCGGATGCGCTCCTTTGCTAGAAGTATCCTCTCAAGGCGGGGAATTCCATAGGTGGATGGTCTTCGGAAGGGAATTCCTTCTGGCAATCCTTCCACATAAAAGCCTCCCATATGTGACTGGAAGAATGGGATAGACACTGGACCTTTTGCTTTTATAGCTTGAGCTTTAAAATGAAAGAAAAATAAGAATGTTAGACTAGCTTGTAACCTTACCCAAACTACCTGTATGATACCACTCTGGAAAGCATTAAAACTATCAGACAGACATAATTATCCAAAGTCTAACATATGTGCCTCTCTTCCTCTCCAAGAAGTATTAACATGTAAATGTTTCTTGATTGCAAATCAATCATGATTACAAATGGAATCCAGTGGTAACCTCTCTCCAAAGACATCTGAAAAAACTATTTCACTTAAGGACTTGGTATAATGAGAGGAAAAAAGGCAAACTCTTAAATGTGAGTAGCCAAGACCTAAGCACACCACAACTCTTGGAAACTGAGTGCAACTGAAAAAAAAAAATCAAGTTTCAAACTTAGGAGCCCAATACATGCACATAATTTTGAAAATACTCTGCTCTGCCTAGTTGCTGTGATACTATTTAACCTTTTCGTGCTGTCAGTCCAGGCCTGCTTCAGAGCCAACAAGACACATGCCAAAATGCTGTTATTTCTGATGTCAAAAGTATAAATTGCTTGAAAATGAGCGTAACACATACCATATTTTTTTTCAAACAGTTCTTCAACTTGCTTTCTCAATTCAGTAATTCGTGCACTCCATTTCTCTGCAAAAAAAGGACATGTCAGGTAACAGATGAAACCAAGAACCTCCTTCAAAAGGTATGTTATTATTAACTGAAATATGCAGTGTGGTTTTACTGCTCACATGCATACAGATGCCTTCATGATATGGTATAAGCTATGTCTCAAAATACTGAGAAAGAAAAAGGATAGAATAAAATGCTTATGATTATCTATTTTTTTTAACTTGATTTAGCAACTGCACAAGTTTTATAGATAAAGGGACAAAAACCAGGCTAAATAATTTCAAAAATGTTTTCTCTTCAGTGGGTCCATCAGCAGCTCCCACCATCATTGGGGTAAACTTAAATTTGCAGCTGCTGTTACTTAAATAGTTACCTAAATCCAGAGACTGAAAAGCTTAATTAGAGAAGCTTGATAAAGTTTACAGTCAGCACAAAGTTATTTTGGTGCAAATCTGTACAACTATGCAGGTCAGAAGGCATCATGCCATCCTTTTCCTTAATCCAGTACCTCCCCAAGTCCTGGTGTTGCAAGACACCCCCATAATTTTAATTTCTGAAAGAAGATGCAGGTTGCAAGACAGAAGTTACCTAAAACCAATTCTGTGTGCCATGGAGAACTAGATTTTAATGGCAGTAATTTAACATCTTATTTCCCACCTGTGACTGTCTCATACCTTTTTGTACCATCTGAATTCCTTTAGGAAAGTGTCACAACTCTTTTGTAGACTGTGCCAGATGCTGACTGGCCTTTAAGAGCAAGTTAATAAGCAAGTATACTTGCAGCTTATTTCCTACACCTAGATTTTAGTCTAGTAACTGAAAAGTTCAAAAAGTGAGGCCATTCAAGTTACTACACTTCCTGTTGTGAAAAAAACTGTGTATCAAATAAGGCAGCATATTGAACTTTAGGTCTGTATCAAAAGGGTTTTAAATAGTCATTTTCAGACACACGTATACAACTTTGGTCACCATTTTTAGGCTTAAAAAATTTTCATGTCATTTCATGGCTATCAAGAGGACTGTGTGCTTCAGATGTGGGAAATAATAAGACCTTGTCTACAGGATTTTTTTTTTTGGCATGCTGCCCTGCATCAAGACATAACTTCCTCATTCTAGTTACCTGGTGTACCTCCTACATTAATTAAGCTGTTTGGAAAGTGAGATTATTCTATTACAGAAACAAGTTTATATTTTATAATAATACCCTTGTGGATAAATCTGTTTACTTGCTTCTGACCCCTCCTACTACTATGCTACACTGTATGGCTTTCGGGCTGATAATCATGTCTTCAGCCGAGTATTTTCTCTCTGTGTTCTGTCCAATGCACTCTGATCATGCAATGTTACAGTCTCACTGCAGATGCATGGCCAAAATGACCTTCCTTCTGACTCTAGCAGAACCACACACTGCATTTTGTGTTGCACCTAGAGAAAAATGCATTACAGGCAGCTCTACTAGTAAGAATTGGGAAAACAGGAATTAGAGTTTACTGTGGTACAGGGGAAATGCTGTTTTAATCACTAGAGCTGGTGAACACACATGGGCAGGCTCAGGGCTGGGTTTGGAAAGGTCCCCATGGGGCAAAGCCGGACTGGAGCTCAGGGGAAACTGTCACCGTGCTGAGACCTCTGCAGCCCAGCGAGCTCTGAGGCAGGCTCAGCAGAATCCCTCCTCTCAAACACAGGCTGGTTTCCCTCCTCAGAGGGAGTAGAGACAGAAGGAATGTCATGCCACACTACAATGCAACTATATTGAAGTATTTAAAATATTGTTGTTGCTACAATTTTGGGAGAGGTTGTTCATATCCAGCCTCTCTCCTTCTGGGCATGTTAGCCTGCCCAAGAGAGCCTTCTTACATGAACCATTAAGTTCCATTTTCTTCTACCTCTATACCTTCTGATGCCTGAGAAACACTCTCCTAGTTTAATACCAATCCCAAAGTCTTCCCCAGCCCATCCATGGGCTTTTCAATTTAGACCATTTTCTGACACTTGGAGGCATGGGTAACACCAACTACAGTAATGAAAAGCTTAGGAAAGGTTAGAAAAAGCTCCTGAAATATTAAGCACTCTATATACTCTACTAATGTCATAGTATTTTCCTGACCCAATTCAAAATAATCCTACATGTGGAACTGCCTATTTATGTTAATGATCTCTTGAGAATTCAGGTCTCAGTAATGTTTTATTCATGGTTGCTGAAATTTGCATGAAATTGCACATGGTTCACACAAAACAGATGTTACAATAGCTTCCATGGGGATTATTCATTTGACCCCGAATTCCAGAATTCCTAATAAGCATCTCCTAAACACTCTGGCAAAGGACAGATTCCTGATTGCACAAGACCCTACAGAAGAACACAGACCCATGGGATATCTGCCCAGAAACAAACAAAAAAGCTAAAAGGAGAGGTACAGATTTGCAGCAATTCCCATGGGAAATGTCTTAAACCAGAATATCTACAGCATGTGGATGTGTTTCTGCAGCAAGAATGCTACACAAGGCCTTATGAAAGAATACTGCTAAAATACTCCATTTTTTGTGCCCACAAGGATCAAAGAGGTTACAGGGTCTAATGGAGTTCTTCAATTACTTTCCCAAATGTGGTTCACCTTAGCACATCTTCATTGTTCATGGATTTTATCTACAAAAAAAAAGTTAAGACAGGCTGCTGACCTTGTAATAACCAGGGTTACATAGAGTAACCAGGGTCTCTTGTAATTCAGTATACTATGCTGTATTCTACTGTAATACTAGTGATCTCAGTCTGATTTTCCCAATAAATTTATTGACAAAATTCTAATCTTATTTTTATTAAATTATTCTGTTTCTAACCTTTTATTTATTTATTTATTTACAACACCTTCTAAATGGCTCATACGCTACAGTGGTGATTAATTGGCAGAGTCTATATTAGATGGTAACTCACTTTAACGTTAACTAAAGAGAGATAGCCTAGAGATCTTTCTACTGCTATAGTGCATCTACAAAGAGTCCTAGGCTATATTCCCACTGCTGTGTCCTACTACTGCAGTG